GTGGCCGGAGAGAGAAGAGAGGAGGGAGGAAAGTTTTAAAATACAAAAAATATCCTTGCATTAAAAATTACCAAAATTATAAATTACCTAATTTATCTATTGATTTGTGGTTAATATTGGTTCTCACAGTTACCACAAACTAATTAGTTCTCATTTGATTAGGCCCCTATATATATATATATAGGGGTAAGATTAAATGTGTTAATTTTGTTAACCGATCTTGGCCATTCAATCTTTCAATAAACGGTTGTGATTAATCATGATAAAAACTTATTTTTTTTAAATTTAAAATTGCATAAAGATAAGTGAACAATGTTGAAAAGAGTATTTAAGTAAAAAAAATTATGTAACTCTCATATCATTAATTAATTGGGAGTTACAAAATCAAAATTCTATGATTTTTTTGTTAATTTATTTTTGTTAATATAAGAACCATATGAACACAACTATATATATATATGAACCATTGTGTCAAATACGAACAAAAATTTGACATATATATGAACTTGGACTGCATAGCATTTATAGACACAATATGAACATAATAAGAATAACTGTTATTCGCAAGAAAATAAATAAAAAAACATGTATGAACACAATATGAACAGCTTGTGAACAATAGTTCCTTTATTATAAACACATTCAAGAGTGATCCTTTGTCAATTGGAGTTTTATACATGCATTGCATCCACACTGTTTAAGGTTTACCCCTTGTTCATATATGTTTATAATCTTATATGGTTGTTCACCCTTTGTTCATATCGTGTTCACCTCTTGTTCATATCGTATAAAATATATAAACACATAACCCCAACGCTATGAACACCGGGTGCAAACACTTACACAAATATAAAGATTTGGCATCAAGCTTAAAAAATAACATTTGTGTTCATATGATAGAAGTAACATGAACACAATGGTTCATGATTCATAAAAGTCGGTAATATGACAATATGAAAATGGGCCGTGCATGTACTTCCATTTGAACATGTGATTAGGTACGTATTTTAATAATTAAAGAAAAAAGATATAATACAAGATGAGTTATAAAAAACACAATACATCTTAATGAACATAATTTCGATTAAAACGAATCTAAAAAAATAAATATCTATTACCAAGACATTCGCTTTGATTAATGTTTTCAATTCCCGACCTCGAACTCCGATTGTCATCATAAACTATTTTAATCTTCTCAATGTTATCGATTTATTTTCCATTGCGTTTATCTATATTAGCTTGATCGATACCGAAATTTTTTACTACCGTGTTTTCTATGCGAATTAAAAACTGATAAAACAATAAACATGGAAGATCAAGATTAAAATAAAATAAAATAATTAATATTATAAATGTATATTTTTTGGGATTTGATGCCCATTAATTGTTTGGGAGTTACATATCAAATAAATTTACTAAAATACCCTTGTAATTAAAATGTGATCATGATATAAACCTACAAGAAGAATGGAATTTGATTGGTTGCCATGGTTTTCAAAGTTAACACAAAATTATTGATTAACATTTGATCACCCCCCCTATATATATATATATATATGGGCTGGTTCAAATGCTAACCAAGATTATCGTGTTAACTTTGTTAACCGATCTTAACTGTTAATTTGAATAATAAACGGTTGTGATTTAATGATATTTAAAAATTAATTATTAAATTAATATTTTCAATTAACATATGTGAACAAAATATCAAAGGGTATTTAGGTAAAAAAATAATCTATCTTTGATACACAAGTTGTCAGACATAGGAACAACTTGTGTATATCCTCAAACCACATCAAACAAAAAAGATTAGACATATGAATAACATGTGAACCGTATGAACATCTTCTGTATATTCAGTAGTCAACTCTGTTGTATGTACATGAACACCTATGAACCAAAGAATCTAGGGTTGTGTGTTTTCATACGTGCTCACATGTCTTCACATGTTCTGTGTGTATATGTATTCATATGAAATCTAGTGGCTTGAATATACATGAACACTTATGAATCATGGCATCTAAGGCTGCGTGATTTCTGATGTGTTCATATGTCAAAGGTGAGAACTGTCGATTAAAACGAATGCAATATCATATTAATCCATTACCAATACAAACTATTTCATTGTCTTCACTTCCGGAACTCGAAGTCCGATTGTCATTGTAAACCATTTTAACCTTCTCATTCCCATTGTTGTCGATCTATTTTCCAATGGGTTTATCCATATTAGCTTGGATAATATCGAAAACTTTACTATCGGGAATTCTTTAACAATCATAAATTCAATAACATTAGATAGATAAATCAAATTTAAAAAACAATCACAAATTGAAAAACAAGATCAATATTAAATCATTATCAATTATGAGATTTTTAGATTTTGTAACTCCCAATTAATAATATGGGAGTTACACAAAATGATAAAATTACTTAATTACCCTTGTCATTAACATATGAGATGCATGTGAACCTAAAAAAAAGATGGATTTTTATTTGTTGAGCTTGGTTAACAAAATTAACACAATAATCTTGGTTAACATTTGAACTTAGCGCACGTGCTCTCTCTCTCTCTCTCTCTCTCTCTCTATATATATATATATATATATATATACATATATATATATATTAATGTATTAAATAATCAGAGTTTGCTAAACATTCAAAAAAATTCATTATTTGATTATCAGAACTTCATAGTATACTAACTATTGGAAATTACCTTTTTTATAAATTCCATTTTATAAAAAAGTTTGTTGGAAATTCCAATTTTATATAATATTTATTTGTTTGAAATTTTTTGGTTGTAAAATGTATCGAATATTTAAAAATACAATTAGTACTGGAATGGAAGAAACCGTTGAGTTTTTTAAAAGTTTTAGATTTTGTTTAAAGAATTGAAGCGATAGAGATATTTATGGAAATACTCGAAGCATTTATTACTTCCGTTACATAAGCAAACACAATCAAACAAGACCGACATATATGGAAATAAATTTACTCTAAAATAAAAATAAAATCCATAAAGCATAACAAACTTGGTATTCTTAATGCACCCAACACCTGCGCAATTAATGCAAGAGCTGTTTAAATATTTACTGGGTTCTCCTAAAGCAAACCAGAAAAGAAATTAATCCAAGAGATTTACATTTGTTACTCTGCTTCAAAAAATTGCCTTTCATCGACCAAAAATGATGCCAAAGAAAACCAAAGGTTGTCAAAAGATTGAGATCGTGAAAATTACAGATGATAAAAGCTTGGCGGTTACCTTTTCAAAACGCCGTTCTGGTATTTTCAGAAAGTTAAGCGAGCTTGGCACCCTTTGTGGGGCCAAGACTGCAATCGTTGTATTCTCCCCAATTGGAAAGCCATACTCATTTGGCCATCCAGATGTTGAGACGATTGTAGACCGCTATCTGGTGACTTCTCTTTTTGTGGAGTCTCGTCCCAATGCCAACACCGAAGCACTCACAAGGCAGCCAGCTGACATGCTTGGTCATCTGGAAGTTCAGAAAAAGGTTGGCAAAGAGCTTGACGAGATTAAGAAAGCAAGGGAAAGAAGTTATTGGTGGGGAGCTCCGATAGAGACGCTGGGTTTTGAAGAACTTGAGAAATTGAAGGTGGCATTGCTGGAATTGAAGAAGGATAGGGGAAAGCAAGCCGAGAGGCTTATGTTGGAGGCTGCTAACCCTACACCAACAATTCCTGTATATTTACATTTGTTATCCTACTCCGAAAAATTGGCTCTCATCGACCACAAATGATGCCAAAAAAAAAAAAAAAACCAAAGGTTGACAAAAGATTGAGATCTTGAAAATTACAGATGATAAAAGCTTAGTTGTCACCTTTTCAAAACGTCGTTCTGGTATTTTCAGAAAGTTAAGCGAGCTTGGCAAATTTTGTGGGGCCGAGACTGCAATTGTCGTATTCTCTCCAACTGGAAAGCCATACTCATTTGGCCATCCAGATGTTGAGATGATTGTAGACCGCTACCTGGTGAATTCTCATTTTGTGGAATTTCATCCTAATGCCAACACCGAAGCACTCACAAGGCAACTAGCTGACATGCTTGGTCATCTGAAAGTTTAGAAAAAGGCTGGCAAAGAGCTTGACCACACCATCAACAATATCATGCTTATTCAATCGTATCTGTTGGTTTGACCGCAACAATATCAAGTTTATACAGTCATGTTTGTACATGTTTTTCTAACCAAGTCTTTTATTAACCGAGACATTTTGACAGATTACTGACGTATATCACTATTTACCAACGAATTTGCGACAACTTTTTCTATCGCTGTAAGTCTACGTTTTTGTAATAGGTCTACAAATTGTGGATCTAGAAATTCGTAAACGATATTTTTTCCTTTTATATTTTGTTCATCAACCTTAAAAAAGGATGATTCCAATTCATATATAAGAATGTTTTCTACTAATTCGTTTTTTAAATGACGAGAATTTGCCGAACATTCAAACAATTAAATTATTTGCTTATTATAACTTTAAGCCATTGTATGCTACCTATTGAAAATTACATTTTATAATAACTTGGTTGAAAATTATCATTTTATAATAACGTTTGCTTAAAAGTTAGTTTGGTTCAAAATACATTGAATATTTTATAATACTAGAAGAGTACTCGCACAATGCAGCGAGACACATCTCGATTTCAATGTTCTATTTTATTATTTGTCTCTGTCGATGTTATAATAAAATTTTATGTGTTTTTAAGAAAACAATATTGATTTTATTTTTGAATAAAATAAAAATTGGAAAAAAAATATATCAATGTTATTATGAAATCAACTATTTAAAAGTTCTCATTTTTTATGTAATTTTTTTAATTTAATTTAAATTTAATAACGAAATAATTTATTTTTGGTTTAATAATATAATATTTTATAACGATAATAAT